CAGGCTCCTGGAGCCGACGGTTTCAGGCTCCTGGAGCCGACGGTTTCTGGCTCCTGGAGCCGACGGCTGGGCGGCCCTCAGAGGAAGAGAACATTCTGTTTATATCCAGCCAGTTTTTTTTTCTGTTTAGTGGCTTTGAGTTCCAGGCATACCAAGAACAACTCGCTGTATTTAGCCAACAGACTGAACGTGTTGTTGTTCTGTGAGCTCAGAGCGGACTGTGTTCGGACTTTGATTGGTTTCTGCTCTGTCTTCATGTTTTCTGTAAACGTGTTGACAGAAGATGGATTTTGGACCAGAGTATTGACTCTGTGGCCTTCTTGTTTTCTCTGTAAACAGATTGTTGAGTTCAGACACTGCAACAGGTTAAATTTAACCAGTATTTTAAACAGACATCAGCTGTTGAGTTGATTTCACTTTTTGTGGCTGACTTTAATCATGTGTTGTCAAAAAGCTCATCCCTCGAGCTTTCTCGCACACGTTTGGACTTGAACTGACAGATTATGGCTCACTGGTCATAGAAACATACCTAACATGCCGTTTCAGAGGCTTTAGATTGGCCTTTTCTTTTAAACATGTTTATTTAATATCTTTACATTTTGGGTTTTTGTTTGGGCAATTCCGCAGCTACAAAACTGTGCAAAAGTCCTGATCCAGTGTTTTTCTGTTTTCCTTCTAAAGATCCAGACCTTCTTGTGGTCTGGACTAACAGTTCTTCAGACTTTCTGAAATACTTTTAAACTTTGGACTTTGGCTGCTTTTTCTCTCAATTTCTGTTGTCAACATTTTCAGAGGAATGTTTTGAACTCTGTCCTCGTTCAGTCAAAAAGGCTAAACTGGTGCGATGGATCGGAGTTGTCGGCACAGATCAGACACGTCGACAAAGAATCTGTTTTAAAGTTCTGCCATTCACCAACAAGGACTGAAGCTGAGAAAAAGCTGGAAAAGTCCAGAGAAATTCTAAAACTTTAGCTCGTTATTGTCAACAGAATATTTATCAACTTTAGCTCTGTAGTGTATAGCAGAAGTTGACCAACTTTAGCTCTGTAGCATATAGCAGAAGT